ATATAAATATATGATAAGGTATGAAAAATATATATCTTTGCAATAAGATAGAAAGGCTTCACCTAGCAGCCAATAATACTGCTCCACTACAGTCTTCCCATTTCAGTATGCTTTTGGAAAATGTTGTACTTCATATTAATATATTTTTAGCTAATAACTAGATTAAAGGACACCTGCAAAGATTTGTGCTCTATAATTCAGAAAAATTCAGATTTAAGGTACTTAGTTTTTTTTAATTAGCCCACCAACAAAAATAGTATTCCTTAAAATCTAATAAATCTCATACTGGATATGATTCACAATCAATAGAAATTTATACTTCTGGCCTTTATCTTCAGTATTGCAATGAAATTCTTCAGGAACTATACATACATACACACACACACACACACACACACACACACACACACATGTATATATATATTTAGTGGAAAGCAATACTTACTGGTACTTTGAAAGGGGAGGTATTCGCAGTGTCCATGGAATTGGGTTTCTCTGAAGTGCTGGTCCCTGAGATGCTCCGTCTGCGGGGGGACCTTTCTGCTGGTACCTCTGGAAAAGTGGAGGAAGTAGAAACATCATGAAGGATCCACAATTTCAGACTGTCTCTAAACTATAAAATTTTTATTTTTCACACACAAAAAGCTGTTTTCTTTAAAGGTCTATTACATTTTTATCTCAACATGTTTTAGGTATCTTTGTGATGTTTGACCTATGAAGATAAAGAAACTTCGTCAGGGTTAAGAATCTATTCTAAGAGACAACTTGTGTTTTCATCTGTGCATGTACAAGAAGTAATTTTTCCAAGCTACAATATGTTTAAGGTTTCCAGGTTCACTTAATAGTTCTATCTGGTACCATATGGCTCTACTTCTCTATCAGCCATTTAGAAGTTAAGTAAATCAGAAATTACTCATATTTTTTGTGAACAAGAAATACTAGTGCTGTGCATGATTTGACAATGCTTAGAAAAGGTCAAAGTTCGGTTCTATACACATGACTCACCAGACTGTAGCAAAATCTATGAGAAGACCGAAAGGTGCTGCAGGATAAAAGAATATACATGCCTATGCAGATATAAAAATAGAGCCGCTTCTCCTTGTTCTGGCTATATGACCTTACTCACATCTTACTCTGCAATCACAGATCTGTTCAAATGACCTAACAAGATTAGGATTCTGCAAATGATGTTATCTCTAATTTAATAGCAATAAACCACATTAACACTGTATTTTAAAGGGTTTTTTTCCATAGTAACACATACATATACACATGCACACACAGATATTTATACACATTATACCTTTATCACAACTGCTTCCCATCTCCACTTCAACTGACAGATAAGAATCCAGCTTCTCAGATAACATTAGATAATCTCAACATGGACAAGAAAAAAAGCACATCCTAAAAAAAGTATTCTGTGTTATCTTCCAGATCTTAAAAAATAAAGAGTAAATGGTGACTCCGGAGACTGACATTTTGATTCCTGCTGTTCTGCCTTTAAAAGATAGATGCAGTTTAAACTTCCATTTCTGGCCTCCTGGCCCCTGGGATCCGTGCTACTTCCACTTAAGAGAAAGCATTTTTTTTTCTCATGCTCCCTCCCTGCCTTGCTCTTCCCCCTCCCTCTCCACAGCTTGCAGAGAGCGAGCGAGAAAGAAACACACAGGACTGCAGCTATTCATTCAATCAATCGTCTGACTGCACATCCTCATTAGTTACTTTTAAGCTATTAACAGGCGTCCATTGCCTTCCCTTACTTACAGAAAATTTCTCTGTATTACACTAATCCGCAGCAGAAAAAAATTACTGACATTTAAATTCGGCTAGTGTTAAAAGGACACCATCTTACACAGACCCAGGAATGCACACAAATCAATGCTGCCTAAGAAAAGCCAACTGGAAGTGCTTACCCTATCACTGTTTGCATGCTGGATACAGGTCTTCTTTCATCTCTTTGTGGCATCTTGACCATTAAGATATTAGCCAAATTACAATATTCCTAACGACTGAGAAGTTGATACCGCAGCTTATATGCCTGCAGTAGAAGACAGTTCCATGATATTGCCGTATTTTTTAAATTATGACCAATAACTGTGTCTCAGATTCTCTCTAACCATCAGTGGATAAACGAGTCTTAATGTAGGAAGTCATTTTCAGAATTAGGCACACGTGACTTCTAACATCCATCTCTGAAAGATGGCAGTATAATTAACTCAGATTCATGGGAATGGCACAAAGGAATTTAAGCAAATCAGCTTGTTGAAGTACACCACACAGCAAGACCTTCAGACTTCAAGACATGACTTTAAGAGTGAAGTATTCAAGTCAGGTGATTCTAAAGTTGGGGAACAAGACAGGCAAGGAAAGGAGCTGGCAAGGCAGGAGAACATCTCATATTTTCTCTGATAATTATCTAAGGAGGTTCTATAACTTCATATTAAGATACAGATATTTTAATCTCTGAATGACAGAGAAACCAAAATGGGAGAAAAATAAGTTTAATTAGCTAGAATAAAATGATAGAATGAAACAGTCTCTGGTTAACAAAAAAGCTGAAACCCATTTCCTCACTTTCTTCCAAACATCTAATTTTAGTTTTAGGCTTATGAACTCATTAAGCAAATATATTTCAATGCTTTAACTTTGTGAAATTGTATTGGCTAAAATGAGTAACTACATTTGAAAATCTAATAACTATGGTTACTTACTATACTTTTTATCTCCATAAGATAAAACAAACAGCTCTTACAGTTTATAGGTTGTTAGCTCCAGAGAGAATAAATTATTACTGAAGAGGGAAAGTAGCTCAACCAGTGAAAGGAGTGAGTACTTTATACTGCTAATTTATCAATCCTCTATAACACAATTTATCTCTTGATATGGAATAAACCCTTGAATGACCATGTGTTTTATTGCTTACAAGGGTTGCTCCCCTGAAGACCAATGTTAACTAAGAAAGAAGATATTAGTCTCAACAGAAGACTGATTGACAGCTTGCTGGATTACTAAATCACAGGAAGGTCCAAGTGGTTCCTTCTCTCTCCTCTCTCTCCCCCCCCCCCCCCCTCACCCCCCCCTCCCCCCCCCCTCCCCCTCCTCCCTCCTCTTCTCCCCTTCTCATTCTCCTAGCTCCCTCTCCCCTCCTCCTCCAATGCAGATGATAGAGGTCAGGTTTGTGGAGTTCAGAGGAAAACAAAGACTCAGGGCTGTTTGATATTTAGTACTAATAATTTGAGGTTTCTGGTCAGCTGGGATTGAAAAATTGGTTGTGATTAACAAGAGACCAGTACTACCAAAGTGAAGCCTTTGCTTTACTAGGACAATTGATGCTGGTTAGCTGAGGCTGAAAAACACTGATGTACAATCTTTTAGGGTCAGCACACAGCTGTAGTTCAGAGGGAGACAAGGCTGAACTTGACAATATGTAAGAGTCCTCCACATGTTTTGGTAGCATCAAAGCTGCAAGATGAAAAGTATTGTGGAAGTATCGTGAGGGTTGGCATTGTAGAAGCCAGCAAAGGACACTGGTGAAGGTGCAGTCAGTTGCAGTTGAGTCCAGAACATACTGGAGATACCAGGACTGTGGAATAACCTCTAAGGACAACAGCAGGTATGGAGTGGAGTTTGCACCTACAAGACAAGCTGTGTGTGTTGTGGATAGTAATGCTGGAGAAGAGGAGCATCCGAAGCCCTTGGGCACCCAGAAGATCCTGTGTGTGTTCCAGATGTTAGACAACAAACTATTTACACTGCTTGATGGCTTTTGCCTTGATCTGATTTTAACTGTGTTCTGGTTCTTCCCTCTTGGAACAAGAAGTATATAACTTTTTATTGTATAGGAGCCTGCAATGGCGAGACTTTGGACTTTTAAAGAGATACTGGGTTTTTAAAGAGCCTAAGCTTTTATTTTAAATTTCCAATACAAAATGTTATCTCTCATTTTTAGTGATAACAACCAGGCATTTTGATAATGACAACAAATGATGATACTACAATACCAAAAAATGATGATACTGCAGTCATCATTTATTATGCTTTATTTGAGAGAAATGTTTTTAATGAATTACATCTTCAATCCACATAATAATCCTTTGGAACTGGAATTTTTCTCCCAATTTTACAGACACAGAAACAAGATGTTCTAGTACTCTGCCCATGTCTGCCCAGCAGGCAAGAGGCAAAATGAGGATTAGAACCCACGCAGTCTGCATTTAGAGCCTGTGCTTTTAACCACCAGGCATGCTATCTTGTACTGTGTGTTTTACATAATAGGCTATAATGGAGGGGGAAACCATAACTACAGAGATTCTAGTTCCCTTATTTGTTCCTAAAGATAACTCAAAAAAATTAACAGTATGTTCACAGTTCTTTGTATTTTAAAGAAAACTAAGGCAAACATACTAAGGGTCTACTTCAAACATGGCTTATCAAGGAAGACTCAATCCTGGAATAGGTGCTGATAAGGATCTCCAAGTCCAAGATACATAGATCCGAGACACTGAGACCAAGGAGGAGACATGTAACTTAATAACAAAGTGTAACAGTGAGGACAAAAAGCCACCAAACACAAGCCAAGCCCTAAATAATACCTAAAGCTGCCTTTGTATTTGGGTCATAGATGTTCAGAATTGAGACTTCATCTTGATGGATTTTTCCTGTGATGAATATGAAATGACCTTCTTCATCTCTTTTGATTAATTTTAGTTTGAAGTCTAATTTGTTAGATATTAGGACTGCTACAACAGCTTGCTTCTTAGGGCCATTTGACTGTAAAGTCTTTTCCCAACTCTTTACTCTGAGGTAACATCTGTCTTTGAAGTTGAGGTGTTTCCTGTATGCAGCAGAAAGATGGATTCTGTCTTCGTATCCATTCTGTTAGCTTGTGTCTTTTTATAGGTGAGTTAAGACCGTTGACATTGAGGGATATTAATGACCATTGATTGTTGATTCTTGTTTGTTTTGGATTTGGTTTTGGTGGTGGTATTGTGCTATTATGGAGGCTGAAGCAGGAAGATTATCACTTCAGCCTAGTTTAAGATCAGTTTAGGCAATATAGAGTGCCTCCTCCCACAAAAAAAGGAGAAAAGGGAGCAGAGAGGAAAGAAGGGAGAAGGGAAGAAAGGTGAAGAAAGAGAATATAAATACAAATGTATAGACTTTTACATGTAAACATGAAACAGTCATTTCCTGAGAAGGAAATGTGCATTCAGCATGGTATAAAACCAAAGCTATGATGTCAAGCATCAGTAATTAGTGAAGGTAACTGAAATGGGGAAACCATGATATTAGTTTTCCCCCTTTAGCATTCAGTCAGTGTCAAGTCTATCTCTGAAATGCCTATCAGTTTCAGTTTAGCCAACAATAAACCTCCTAGTTCAGGGCTTTTTATTCTGTGCAGATTGTGACAAGGATCTCCTAATTTCGTTCCAAATTTCACTTAGTTTCTGTCTACTTAATGTTATTCTAAGCACAATTAATCTCCCCCCAAAAATGCTTTTTTGATGAAATTACTTCTTTACTGATCTTTACACAATCAGGAATTTAAG